GTACGCGGAGTATCTGGGGAGCTGGAAGATGAGAACTGGCGACTTTGCAGTACTACTTTAGTACGCGGAGCAATCTGTGGAGCTGGAAGCTGAGAACTGGCGACTTTGTACAACTTTAGTGCGCGGAGTATCTGGGGAGCTGGAAGATGAGAACTGGCGACTTTGTAGTACAACTGTAGTACGCGGAGTATCTGGGGAGCTGGAAGATGAGAACTGGCGACTTTACAACTTTAGTACGCGGAGCAATCTGGGGAGCTGGAAGCTGAGAACTGGCGACTTTGTAGTACAACTTTAGTACGCGGAGTATCTGTGGAGCTGGAAGCTGAGAACTGGCGACTTTGTAGTACAACTCTAGTACGCGGAGCAAGCCGTGGAGCTGGAAGCTGAGAACTGGCGACTTTGTAGTACAACTTTAGTACGCGGCTGAGTCATCTCTATTCTGTATTTTGCAAAAATGCATGAACAGCGTTTTTTCCTGCGAGACAGTTGACGGTGGTTGCTTCGCTTGCGCTCCATTGGTCGGTTCCAACTTGTTTTGTCAAAGAGCATCGCAGCTCGGCGAATCAGCCTGCCACATGCCCATTTCCTATAGGCTTATTCTTTTGGAAACTTCCGCCGCCGGCTTGCCCGGGAACTACTTGTATATATAGTCATAAATATATATAGTTTTTTACACTTCCAGGTTCCTGGGAGCCGCAAATCCAAGGCCTTTGGTGACCGAACTGGTGGCTCGCGAGATCCCTGTGAGTTACTTTGTCCATGAGACGGTACGCGAAGTCGTTGAAGCGACTGGTGCCCAGTGGCATGCTTTGCTTGACCCCCAGCGTTTGACAGAGGAGGGTGGGGCAAATCAGGGTCAGAGTGTTGAAATCTTTCAGGGGTTATGCCTGGGCTTTGTCGTCCAAAATGTACTTACAGTAACCCACAGCCTAAAACTTTAGAACTGGAACATGTTGAAACAGGTGTTCGGCCTCTGGACCTGCAGAGGAGCAACTGCAAAAGTATGTTCCAGACCAGACGCCCAAAGAGGATTACGCCTTTCCGCTCTCCTCGCTGGTCTTCTCAGCCTCTGAAGCTCCAGCTTTGATTGCACAGTTGAGGACTTTGAAGCCACTCCCATCGGTGATCGTCTATGATCCCTTCTTGCCCCTGGGTCTCCTGGCCGCGCGAGAGCTCGGCATCCCTGCCGTGGCGACCGTGACCATGGCCGGACCAGGCGTGGTGGAGGTGCATCCGCCCGTGCAGCAGAAGTGGGAGTCGAATGCCGTATCACGAAGAGCGCGGCAGGAAATCAAGGAGCTCTACAACTTCGACGTGTTTGCACACGGATCCTTTTTAGAGTTCTACTCTCCAGATCAGAACATCGTCACCACCTGCAAGTCTCTCTACACGGGTCCCAAAACTCCGCTTCAACAAGAACGCTTTGGACACTTCTCCTTTGAAACTAGGCGGTGTTTTGGACTAAACGTTTGTATCCCTACCATGAATGGACATGAATGGACATGCGCATGAATCTCCCGATGGACTCCGTCTCAACTCTTGGGACATCTGACAAATCTCCAAGGAATGTGTGGGGCCACTGCTGAACCCCAAGATCTTACGGCTCTCCAACGCGGAGCTCACGCACTCGGCGGCGCCCATGCTGCCACGGGAAGTGGATGCAGCGCGAGCTGCAGGCCGACGGATCCTGTACGTTTCGGCCGGGACCGTGGCCACGGGGCGACTGTGGAATGAGAAGTTTGGCCCGAAGGCAGGGTGGAAGAAAGGCGAAGGGTCTCTTGGATTGGCCATTCTTGTAGATCCTGTTTTTGGAGTCATGTAGTAAGCTCGTTTGCTATTTTGGATTATATTTGAAATTGGTTGAAATGCTTCAAGAAATCCTGCCTTGAGGGAACTGGGTGTGTGTAACCCTGCTCAGGGCTTGTCCAATGGCCTTAGCGAGTGCACTGGGAAGGAGTTGATTCAGCTTCTCTACCGCACGGTCTTCGAGGCCTTTGGTGGTGCAGAGGATGTGCTTCTTGTCGTCAGCACTGCTCGAGAAGATGCGTTGGAAGGCTTAGATCTTCCGAACAACCTCGTGGCACGACCTTCTTTGCCGCAACTGGAACTGCTCCCCAAATGCCATGCCTTCATCACCCATGGAGGTGCCAACAGCATGCACGAGGCGCTCACCTTTGGCGTCCCCATGGTCGTTGTGCCCATCTTCGGCGATCAGCCCTCCAACGCCGACGCCGTGCGACGCGCGTGGTGTGGCGCCGGAGACTTTCGACATCCGCTGCAGAGCTTGACGTCGCAGGCGTTGCTGGAGGCGGTGCAGCAGTTGGAGCTGCCTGGCGTCCGGGAGGCGTTGAAGGACATGCAGCGGGATCTCCAGGCGGCCGGGGGGGTGACGAAGGCAATGGATCTGGTGCTGGCAGCAAAGAGGAGAAACACTTTAGAGGAGGCACCCTTAGGCGGTGCTTGAGAAGCGAAGAAGGAGGACTTAGTTTCTTTGGTTTGCCACCATGTCGAGGTATGCCCATGTCGAGGGACAGGGCGGAAGTGCTTTTGGATAGTTGCCCACAGAGGCGACAGGGAATTTGATTGTAAAGATGCATGACAGCGTTTTCTTGGTGATCTTGAATCTTGATCATATTGATGAAGGTATCAACAAAAGATGACTTGGTGAACGCACCGAAGAAGAATGGTCCTACAGATCGTGTTTTCACAGCCGGCCAGTCTTGCTTTATACTCGGTCATAAATCATTAGTGACATGTTCACGGATGTTTCAATACCAGGATCTTGTGGACGTTTTTGGGATTTGGTCTTGTGAATCTTGTGGCATTTCTGGAGGTGGCTTCGACTTCCGACTGCACAAAGCGCGAGACCTTGATCGCGTTGTGGCATGGCGTTAGGAGTGTTGCCTTTGTCGGTGCGCAGGCCTTCACCAAGCAACATCCAGCAACTTTATAGTCCCTCAGAGTTCAGATAAACGGATCTCCCCACCACTTTTGATGCACTAGGCTGTTTCAAGATGTTTCGTGGTCAGATCAGATCAATCAACATGAGATGTTAACTTTCAACATGCCTTTCATGTCAGAAGACTGCCCCAGACATGGGCACCCACTGTGGGTGCTATTGCTGCTACTGGTGGGTGTCTCTGATCCCTCTCTGACAGGGCCCAAAGTCGCCCATGTGGGTTCGAAACTTGCAAAGGGAACCGAAAGCTGTACCAAGCAAACCTGAACCGGAAAAAGCACCATGAAACACCACGAAACGCCTACAGTAGGTTTGCCTAGATTCCGAGGAAGGTCGATTTCCCAAGTACAGGAACCCTGGTGACATCACCGTTCGTTTGAGCCGTTTCCGAGCGAAGGAATTCCGCCGATGAATCTGTGCCTTCGGTCCAAGCCGTTCTTGCTCTACAGGCAATGATGCTGAAGGTGAGTCGATCGTGGGATGCTCAGAACAGATCCCTAAAGAAACAGATGGAAGTGGTTAGGCTGTTATGTAAAACCACTAAACCAAGAAGATGTCTGGAGGATATACCCCCCGCGAAAGTTAAACATGGAGTTCGCGAAAGATTCGCGAAAGTCAACTTTTTATTGGCGAAGAATTGCCTTTCAGCAGAAAGGAATTTTGATCAACCACCATATATACAGTTGTAGAGGCGATAACAGAGACCATATGGCCACAAACGTTGCCTAAATGGGCGGTGGGTTTTTAATGACCATGCCCATGTTCTCTTTGGGATGAGGAGGGTCAACCCCTTCCACCAGAATGGGCAATGTGATGCTTTTCATGTGTTTGTTAAGGAAGGTTTACACTCCCACTCACTAACATGGGGATAGAGGTTTCCCACTGTTCGTAGAGCAAAACACTCTGCCCGGCAGCTCTTTGATGCTATTTTTCCACTTCCATGTTAGTCCTAGATGCCAAGGGTGTAGTGTCAAGAGTGTAGTGCATTTTTCCATGTTTAGCTATTTTTATGGTCAGAGTGTCGTGTCCGTGCGATGCCGTCGTCGCCATGTCTCCCACATCCGCCTCCATTCCCAGGCTGGACGGGCAGAGGCGGGTGGACACCCGGAGATAACCGGTTTGGGCATGTTCTGGGCGAACATTTACTGTATAGAACCTTGTAGAACTATATATTCCACAGGAAAATTTGGGACATGTTTGGACCTGTTTGGGAAGAAACTGCTTCATCTGTGCGAAGCAACTGCCATGCTTGGTTTTGACACAGTTCCTGCCCAAGGGAATCTGAGGGTGAATCCATAAACCATGAACGCAAGTGAGAACCAACGTAACATCTGCAGATGACCAAGGTCTGGTCTGGAGCTGTTCTTCTGAGAGTAACTATCAGGGAGGGTCGTTTGGAGATTAATTGGATCACACCTGCAGGACAGCCTGGTCACACCCAAAGTAGGAACTGCAGTTGGTTTTGACCAAGACATGCACCTTCAGGACGAACCAGTGGAAAGCCCACAATGGAAAGCCCGCAATCTTCAGGCACGGATGACGCGCATCATGAAGAGAAGAGAGGACTTCAAATCCTTGGAGGCGCCTGGGCGAGAGCACTTTTGTTTCCAAGTCCGCGCTTGGGGCCTTGTCAGGCTGGTCTGTTTGGCGAACTCCAAAGCTTTTTCCAAGCCTTGGATGCTTTGAGACCTTAAGAGGCCGATGTTTTCCAGGGTTTAGCCAAACAATGAACCCATTTGGATCACAGCTTGGGCATTTGCTTGTCAAGCCAACATGCACCAGGAAGATGCTTCGGGGCATCCGGGTGTGTCTTTGCATAGTACGGAGACCTCCTGACCCTCGCCCCTGGCTGGATCCGAACCTTCCAGGGGGTCGGAACGCCGGCGGTTCGGTCTTTTTTTTTTAATACACGCCATATGATCCCATATCCCAGACGCCACCCATGGGACTGCCACTGCCGATCCAGACCCTGTTTCAAGCACCACCGATCGGCATAGATTCTAGTCCCATGGAGTGTCTGGGATATGTATAGATTTGGGTTTCCGGACATTCCACCTGATATCCCTCAAAACCTGTGGCTTGCCATAAAAACGGATCCTAAGCCATGGCGACAACACCAGCCAGGCCGGTCCTGTCGATGGGTTGCTCATGGTGGCGGATGATGATGCGGAGCTCACGCAAGAGGCTAGACAGCTGCGCCGCAGGTGTAACTCCATCGGTGGTAGGCGCCGGCGCCACAGTCTTTGCAATAGGGCATAGGTCCTGAAACTTCCAAATCCTGAACCCAAACAATTGGAATTTCCAGGGTGTTTGGTACGTTGTACATATTATACGTATAAATAGCAATAAAAAAACATTTTATTATATGTATTTGCAAAGCAAGAGGCACAGGCGATTTCCGCCATGCTCAAGCTCCAACACCTCAGCCAGGTGTTAGAGCTCTCTTTGCCACGCCTCGCGTACGGCGGGCGCGTGGCGATGTGGCCCGGCGGAGGTGGATTCATGGGCCGTTGATGGCGACAAAGAAGAGCAAGTTGCGACCACGTTATGGATAGGGATCTTGTTGCTACTGTAGTAGTAATGGCCTCCAACTTAATAGCGATGGCCTCCAACCTACTAGTAGTAATGGCCTCCACCCTAGCTTCTTGTTCCTTATCTTGGGATCTTGGATGATCTTGGTACCAGGATGGATCACCAAGATGACGTTGGAATGGTCATCCCCAAACAGAGACCTTGATCTGATCCCCCGTTCATGTCGGGATGTGATTGTGCGCTGACCTGGTCGGGGGATGTCTGATTGGAACAGTATAGATGGACACTCAAAATCACCCAAATAAGCAAAGTCTTTTGGAGAATCCCTTCATGCTCACTCTTATTGTTGCTTTTGGCCGCGTTGCAGTACAACAACCCCCAAACTAATTTTCACATCCTCAAGTTTCAACCAATTACCCTTAGACCCTGAAAAGGAACAAACCCATTGCAACCTATCGATCTTTAGCGTTTAGCTCCGATTGTTCTCGAATCCCATTCCGTGGGTCCAACGCGGCATCCTCGACAGGAAATGGGGAAAACGGCCGACCTTGGACCGCTCTGGGGAAAATGGTTTCCACCTGTTCCCATCCACAGTCGTCCATGTTTTTTCCTTCCTTTTCCTCCAAAAACATCCTACCCTCCTGGCTCCTGGTTCAGAAGGAACTCCCACATCTGGGCGTCCACTCGAGGTTTGGCCACCACTTGCAGTGGGCCCGGCGACCTTACCGGCCACCGGCCACGCGCCGCGCGCTGAAGAAACCACGTCAACGGCGGCGCAGCGACGGGGCGCTCATGCTCGCCCCCCCCGTTCGGAACGTTTTCCCGTCTCCTTCGGACCCCTTCGCCGGATCGGTGGAACCGCGTGGGAACCGCGTGGGAACGTCCGTCACTGCGGTTGGTCTTCGCCAGGCCCTTGGCGGCCCTGCAGGGGGCCTGGCGCGCCAACGGCTCGTTCGTGGACGTGCGGCTCACGCAGCTCTTCACGCGGGAGTTCCAGGCCGCGAAGGATCGCGAAGGTCATGAGGGACGGTAATTAAGGGGGGGCGAGGTCGGTGAGGGGGCGGGTTTGGCGGGAGGGGGGTGGGTTTCAGTTTGCCCCTCAAATGACTGAAATATGGATCCAATATGTCCAATGGGTGCTCTGATGGAGTAGAGAGGAGTCCGGAATGATCATGAATGCAGAAAAGCCTAGGGTTGAGGATGTGAGGTCTTGTTGGACGAGCTCAGAACTGCACCTCATCTTTTGCAAGTCCTATCGCCATGCATGGATGTCTATGTGTTTTTAGGGGTGTCAATCTCTCCACCTGAGCGCTTGATGGACAATTTAATAAGCACCACGAATTTGATGCTGGCTGTTTTCCTTTTTTTAACATATGTTTACAAAATATTGTTTGATGACTACTCGTGGGCTTTGCAGTTGACTGTGGATGTACCTCTGAGGACTCACTTCGTCTATTCTATTGTTCTGACAACAAGTTCATGGATGACATTTTAGTTATATATGTTCTGTTATGTTCACTAAAAGGAACAAACGATTGAGAGTTGTTACATGTTTGAACGGAGTTGTTCACCCTGTTCATCCATAGACAGAGCCCTTTTTCGTGGGCAAAATGACATACACGTGCATGTGGGGGACAGGTAGCTGTATGTATAGCTCTACACTAACCCCGGCGGGTCGGGGAAGATGCTCTTGGCCTTTGTTCCAGCGAGACGACCACTTGGTGCGGTCCGCGGTGCGGTCGGAGTGCGGACACACATCCATCAGGCCTTGCCCTCGCGGACACATCCCTTCATGGCCAGAGTCTCACCGAGTCGAGCCTGGTACCAGATAGCTTTGTTCAGGTGGTTTCACTCGGTGGGATCATGAGCTCCTAGCCTCGATCAACCTTGTATAGTGATGTATAGTAGGGTATCCCTTGGAAGTGCAGATCATGTGCAGATATGGCATTTTTTCTATGCAGTGCTGATGAGAGAAGTTGGATGTCAGCAGGCTCTTTGATCGCTGGAGTGACCCTGTCTCAACCCTTCGGACCGCGACCGGACTGCACGACCCTGGAGCGCCGAGGTCGCGGAAGCTCAGCTGTGCGAAGGCTTCATCCTCTGCGCCAGCAAGGCGGCCGCACCGGGTTTAAGCGCAATGCGGCATTGGCATTCCCCAACGTTCCCCAGAAGCGCATGCGGCATGGTAGCATTCACTGTGATCAAGTGGTGAGGTCAATATGGAAACCTGTAAACTTCACAGACGGCCCAAGGACATATGGACTCTATGGACTCCAATCCTTTTGGTTTCTCCTTGAGAGCCTTTTTTGCGAGAGCTGACTAGTCGAAGCTTCAACATTATTTATCAATTTGTCCATTGTTGAAACCACTCATCAAACATCATCAAACCATTTCTCATTGAGCTCGCAGGAGGTGCGCATTCTGATTTTCCATTTTGCAGCCGCTTGCAGCCACTTGCAGCCACTTGCAAGTGGCTGCGAAGTGGTTGCAAGTGACTGCTACTTCTGTCTGGAGAATATCATGATTTCTCCGCACGTAGTTCTGAAGAAAACCAAGATTTCTGCAATGCTGTTCAGCAAAGAATTTCCGGTTTTCTCCAGAGCTGCGCGCGGAGAAATCATGAAATATTCCAAGGCTTTCCCAAGAATAAATTCCAAGCTTCTGCAGAGCTAGCGACGAAGAAATCTTACAGTTTTTACATAAAGAACTCAAAGTGCAAGTGTTGAAGTTTACTTGCTTGAGTGACAAGTGATTGCAAGTGGCTGCCAAGCGGCTGCCTGAGCAAGTGGCTCCGAGTGACTGCAAAAGCAAAACCAAAAACCAACATGTATGTCCTCTGCTCGCCCTCTTGCCATTTCTGCTGAAGCAGAACTCCCCATGCCCTGTGGATCCCTGTGGTGGAGCCGTGAGTTTGGACTAAGCAACCATCCCCTCATGGTGCTGTGTTGGATAACTCTTTGAGCATCTTGGTTCGCATGGCTCAACCTCCATGTTCAACTCGCCCCCGCCAGGTGGTTGGAGTTGCGACCTCAGAGGGACAGCGACCTCAAGCGGGCTTGGACACCTCTTTTCTGACCGCCATGGCAGTCGCCTTGTGGGATCTGATTGGTAGAGTTTCAACTGAAGAGAGCACCTGGCGAAGCGAAGCTTATGGAACTTGGGCACGTGTCCAACTTTCTGCAGAAATCACCTCAATTTGCATAAATCACCACTCTGCCAGCCACTGGGCATATGCTGGCCGAGACCGCTTCTAACACCGCACCAATTGGCCGAGACGGCCTCGTCTGCGTGGCCGCACGACCCGACGTGGTCGCTCGGGATGACCAGGAAGAGCCCCGTAACGACGAGCCGCCGGTCTCTCAGAGGACGATGAGCGCCCGTGCGAAACGTCGCCGAAGAGGAGGAGCGAGGGCGGCATAGGCGAACTGGAACAGGAAAGATAGGCAGGCGACTCTGAGGGTATCCCTCCTCCGAAAAAGGAGCCTGGCCAGTTGTGGCTGCTTTCTTTTAGACAGATCCTGCACGCCACGTGGTAGCAATATAGTATGAGACCCTGTCATCGGAACCTAATCTGAGAGCCTCATGATTGGATGAGAACGGTCCAGTGAAGCATCCTTGCTTCGACTCAGCTCAACCCAAATGATTCTCAGCCCTTTTCTCACCTTCGCGACATCCATCCAAGTGTACACCCGCTTCATCCATCTACGATGTGCTTCAGCGCTCAGGCCAAGCAAGAAGATCTGTACCTGACGTGGAAGAAGCATCGCAAAAAAGAGTCGCTGGACTTCCAGGCTTTTTTTTGAACCCCGGGCCACGCTATCATGACATTGAAGTCTTCGCTATTCGCTGCTGTGAGCTGCCGTGAATGAGTTACCCTGGAAGTCCAAGATCGTAACAATAAATGGACCTTGTGTTGTAGTTGTAGTGTAAAATCCTTCGTAACACTAAAATCCTTAGTAGGACAATGGTGGTTCGGTCAAAACCATTCGGACAATAAGCGTGGTTGGACTTGGAAGCCTAGGGTATACATATAGATACACCAAAAGCATCAGAGTTGTTTGATATAGAGACTGGTACCAGTTCACCTCGTGGTTAGTTGTATTGGTTGTTGCCATTAGCTTTGCTTCTTGCTTTCACCAGCGACAGTCGTTCAAACAAACATGGGCAATAGATGGCAATAGATGTTTGCTCTTGCCTAACCTTTTCTTGCACCAGCTGAGGTTAGATACCCGATATCGCCGATACCCCTTTTTTTCAAGGGTAACACTGTTGCTGCTCTGCATGAGTTTGATGGTGTCTCTGGCTCCGAGCTTCTGGAGCAGCAACATGGAGCAAGCATCAAACTCTGAGCAACAGACACTGAAGTCGCAGGGCGAGAGACTTCAAGTTGATCATTTCAAATTCATCGCACTCCGCGCATTCCAAGTGCCATTTTCTTCGCCAAAGGAGAAACCGTAGAAGATGTCCCTTTCCGACTCGCTCTTCATGTTGATGCTGAGACGATACGTAAATGGGCTAAAGAGAAGAAAGGCTGAAGAAATACGGGAAAGCAGGACATCCTCTCCGAATCTGGTTTGCATACTACACTGCATACTACTTATTAACGACTAATTTACTTATATACTTTCAATAGTCTCAATAGTGCTGTCTTGTTCTTCCTCACCTCACCTGCAATCTACCCAGCATGATCAGACCTTCCCCTTCATCACATCTCGTTCGCGCCATGGGTGATTTCCCTGCGGGCTGAAGGAGGGTCAGAGCAGGCCAAACTGAGAGGCTTGGCACGTCCGCCATGCGATGCAACCTTCGCGGGATCTGCTTCGGAACACAGTGAACCTGCTTCACGACTCCATCCGCGAAGGGGCCGACCAGTCGTTTCAGGGTGCTCTTGGAGAGGTTGCAAAGATGGGACACACTGCAAAGAAATATCGGGCCTGAAATCTTGAGTGGCTCAACTCGTTTCTGACCAACTGATGCAAACGGAACCTTTTGTGGCTGCTTCATTTGCTATAGAGAATTCCCAAAGGTAAGATAAGGGTCACGGGATGAAGAGGAGAATCGATTGGCAATCAACACAGTGAGGGTTGGCGGAATCCCCAAGTAGAGACAATCTTTTTTGGGATTGATTTAGGTATGTTGATACCAGCAATACATTCCCTTGATTAATTTCAACTCATCTCCACATCTTTGGCTCAACGTTTGATTGTATGTATCCCAACACTGATTCCAGCATCAACTCAAGAGAGTTTTGCCCCAAAACACGCAGAACAAAACCCAGGAAGGGCTCCCAACCAAGCCCTGCAGGGAGCGCGTGCCACCCCACGGGAATCCAAGTCACCGGCCTTCCTTCTTTGCGTGTTCTTCCGATGTCCTCGCCCCAAAACATGAGACCTTTTCCTTGGAGCCAGCAGACACCAAGAATCGGGTTTTCAGCATTAGGCCAATGGACGTCCCAAGCGAGCTCTTCAGTGATGACGGGGTCAGCCCCACCGGCCCAGGGGCCTCAGGAGGTCCACATCGACGTATCTATCTGCAAAAGAAGACATGACCGGACCAGTTTTGCCACCAAGACACATGGGTGTGTCAGTGTGTATAGGAAGATCCCCAAGTCAATTGTTGTTTTTTGTCCTTCTTTCCAGGTCTTTTTCCGTCTTTGGGAGGTGTCTCCCTATTTCAATGCACAGATATGGGAGGTGCAAAGGGTTGGGAACTTCATGCAAGGAACTGATTCCACAGACACTTGTGCCCTCCATTTGTGGCGGCTGCGTTCTGAGGCCGCTCCGACTACACGCCTCGATTACGCCGCCGGAACCTCGGAGTAAGAAGTCCATAGAGACTATATGAGTGTGTATTGAAATGGGGAGACCGAGCCCCCGTTCAAACCCCTGGAAGAAGGAACATGGACCCGTCTACCCATTGGGTCTCCCCCTATTAAGATACAAACCCCCAAAACAACCCCAAAATCGAATGATCCGACATGGTCGGTTTGTCGGTCGACCCGCTCATCCAGGTCAGCCCATGCTGCTTATCCATTTGGACATCAACAAGTCTGGGCCGCCCAGCGGCTGTTTCCGAGACCCGCAAAAGGACATCCGAACTAGCTTGGCATGTCAAAGAGGTGTCAACATCGGATCTTTCTCCCACAAACACCCGTTGCCCGTGTTGCCTGGTGTGAGCGTGCCGAAGGTGATGGGAATAGGAGGGACCACCAGGGACCACTCTCTTTTTTGTTTCGAGCCTTTCCGTAGCTGCAACCGGGGCGTTCAGTAGTTGTGTATATAGTGACTATACGGTACTATACGTATATAGTTTCTTGAGAGATGGGCTTGACCACAGGATGGGCAGAACCCATCTGAATCGTGGCTTGAAAGGGGCAGCGATCACAAGTGGTCTTAGGGATCCGTGCCAAGAACCGTGCAGCTCCAATCCAAGCTGCTGTGGTACAGTTTGTTGCCTGCAATTGTATATACCTAAGAGTACTACTTACTGCAGGGTAGGGCCGTGTCCCTACCAAACACCCTGAATCAGGCCCTGAGAATATACTGACGGACTTGATTCATGAATCTAAGAGACTCTAACGGATTTCCATGACCTTGTTCTGAATGTGACCGCCTTTAGGCGCCTTGGGCTCTGTGTGTGAAAAGTGTAGACCGTTGAATCTCGATCGCGGTGCGCTCATGTCGTGTTGATTTGGTTTGTGAAACAGTTGTTCTTGGCTGCTGTTCTCATACAGTGGCAGCGGAGCCGGGGTAAGGTCCCGGCTCCACCCTGGCTGGATGGATCCTCTCCAGGTTGCCGACCCGTGGGGTCGCTATGCTGGCCTAGGACTTCAAGGAGCCTGCTCCAGCTTCCAAGGAGCGACAACAGGACCGATGTCTTTTGGACCACCTGGAGGAACAGGACACGGACCGCATGGGCCAGCCAGTGGTGGACCACGGCCGAGTTTTCAGGGGGACGCTTCACAAAGAGGTCACCTTGGTTTACAAAGCTCAGCTGTTGGGAAAGGCTACCAAAACCTACCTTCTTCGAGCCCAATACCAGTTTTTACACCTGGTGCGAATTTTCATGGTCAGATGCCATCTAGTGCCCCGAATCCTCAAGGATCGAAGGGACAAGCTGGAGGTTTTCCCAATTTGGGAAGTAATGTTCCTCTGGCAACCGGAAACGGCTCTGGCGACGTTTTTCCAGGTGTCCAACAGCAGCAGTCAAACTCAACACAAGGAACATTGAGTGCAGCAATGTTGGAACAGTTGAATATGGCTATGGCACCTCCAACGACACCCCAAGTGCAAAGCGCTTTCGACATTCTGGGCAAAACCCCAACTTTGCAGAGTGCACCTCCAAGTGATAGCAATGCTGTGATAATGAAAGCACTCACTGCTGCGTTGACTGGAGATCGCAAGACTTTGCCAGCTTGGTCGGGTGCCCCAGAAACGTTGCGTAGTTGGTTGAGGCAATTGTCGCTCTGGGAACTGGATAACAACACCCCAAAAGAGCGCTGGGGTTTGAAGATCATGCAGAGTTTTCCAGAACAATCCATTCCCCGTCGACTTTGCGAAACTATTGACATTGGCATCCTGTCGAGCCCTCAAGGGTATAGTGCAGTGCTGTCAGCTATCCTCCAGAAATATGGGCCATACATTGAAGCAGCAGCGCCTGCAGCCATTGAGAACTTCTTCTATGCTGGAGAGCGCCAGAGGGGAGACACATTCTCCTCATACATAGCTGCCAAAGAAGTGGCCTTGCAAGAGCTGGAGAGCAATCTAGGTGAGAAGCTGCCGTCGAAAGTTGCTGGACGAATCTTGTTGAGACATGCTGCGTTGACAGATGTACAGCGGGAAAGTTTGGCGATCAAGTACCAGGCGATGATGACTTTTGACCAAGCTGCTTCGGCCTTGAGGCCATTGGACCGCCCTGAGGCTCTCATCAACAAGGTGGCAAAGAACTTTGTCACTGGGGCTACTGAGAGTCACAGAGAGCCGTCCTACTGGCCGGATGATGAGGAGTTTGAAGAAGATGACGAGGAACTGTTGCCCGACGACCCTTGGGCCGAATCTCCAGAGGCTCCTGAGGTCGATGAAGAAATCCCCACACATTTTCTGCTGTTTGATCCTGAACAAGAGTATACAGAAGAAGAGGCTAACTACATTTGGGCCTACAGCAGTGCGTATAAGGACATCCGGAAGGAGCTTCAGTCGAGAAGAAAAGGCAGAAGTTTCTTCAAGCCAAAAGGCCGAGGCCACGGTGGAGTAGGCAAGAAAGGAAAGGCCAAAGGAAAACGACCATCCAAAGGTCGTGGAGGTCCCGGCTCAGGCCGGGGGGGCACTTCACCGTGGCACTCCAGAAGACTTGTTGGCGAAGACACGTTGTTTTTCTTGCGGGGAGTTGGGACATATCTCCAGAGACTGTCCCAATGACAGGAGCAACACTTTCTTCATTTGTCGGGGCACAGCAAGTGATCAAGCTAGAACATACATGCAGTGCACTACTAAGCAACAGCCGGTTGGCTTGAGCAACATTGAGTCGGTTGGCCTGAGCAACATTGAGTCGGTTGGCTTGAGCAACATTGAGTCGGTTGGCTTGAGCAATGTTGAGTCGGTTGGCTTGAGCAATGTTGAGTTGGTTGGCTTGAGCAACATTGAGTCGGTCGGCTTGAGCAGTGTTGGACAATCGTCGGTCGGCAGGGGAAGCGTTGACAAGTTAGTTGAGTCGCATGACATTGAGCAGTTGTCGACAGCACGTTGTGACACTGATCACATGCAGCCACATAGTGCATTGCGAATGCCTGAGACAAAGGCCTTGCAGGTCTATGCTGGAGTGGTGACTGAAGCTGGTGAAGGTATTGTGGACACCGCCGCAGAGGAGGGTGTCATTGGTTCCACTGCAATGACCAAGTTGAGGGCCGCGCTGATGAGGTTCGGACTTCAACCAGTTCCGGCAGCAGGCACCACTGTGTGCGCAGGCATTGGAGGCAATGCAAAGGTTGCTGGTGTTTTCGACGTGCCTTTGGGCATCTGCAAGTGCAATGTGTTGTTGAGGATCACGGAGATCCAGGATGAGCCTCAGTTCACGACACCTCTGTTGTTGCCGATTTCATTCATTGAGTTGGTTGGAGGTATCGTTGATACCAAGCGGAACCTTTTTCTTATGGCCAACGGCCGCAAGACACCTATGCGGCGAACGCCGTCCGGGCACCGTGCGATTTCGGTGCTAGAGTTCAAAGGGCGATGGACTCTACCGCCCATGTTGTGCTCAGAGCTTGGCATCGGAGACTCCTCTCCTTTTCATTTGGAGCGACAGTCCGGTGACAAAAGGAATCCGGTGCAACAGCCTGGGGTCGCCGTTTGGTTGAAGTTACAAGGTTCTTCGGCAATGGTATTCATGGGGGCCCTTCCACCTCGCAAGACCATGGTTCACCCTTCAGAGATCTTCAATGCCGACCAGGTGAACCTTCTCTCCCGTTTTAGGTCAACCCACGCGGTCTTCGAGGATTCGGGCAAGTTCAATTGGTATGAAGCCTGGACTATTCCCCAACAACGCCAACTCCCTTTTTGGTCGGGCAGTGTATATTTTGAGGCTCCTTGCACACCAGTGGTTTTGCGCGTTTTTGGCGTTGATGGCAAAGACTTTCCTCATGTTTATACTCCTCCTACCTCTTCACCTTCCTCGATGACTTCCACACCCCAAAGATGTTTCGACATTGGCAAGGCCGGAAGCACCCCGGCAAGCCACCAACAGCAGGCGGGATCATCGAACCGGGATGAGTGCAGAGGAAGAGAGGCTGTTTTTGAGAAAGTGTTTGCAGAGCAAGTGAAACGTGTCAACGATGTGAGAAACCCTGTTTTGCTGGAAGCAGTGAATCCGTCTTTGTCCTTGCATGGCTCACCAGAGGATCAAGGTTCGACTCAAGTGCCTTCTCGAGCCAACCATGATCAATCGGCTCACACAATGGCGTGCTCGGGAGGACGAAGAGGACCTCCAGACGCCAAAGCCGAGGTGCATGGGTCAGGCAAAGACTTTGAGCGCTTGGCATCGGCTTGCTCTCAAGATCGTCACTTTGATCATCCACTCCACAAGGCAGTCAGCCATGGATTACTTGCTGAACAAGAGCAAGACCCCAGTGGCCAAAGCCAAGAGCACATCCACTCCCAAGAAGGAGACGAAGACCAAGCAGGTGGGAGATGGCAAAGTGCGCAGGGGACTCGGCCAAGAGCTGCCTCGCTCCAAGGCCAACAAAACATGGGCACAGGAACCAACCACATGTGCCCACGACGAAGACAAGCTCCGAATGCGCGCTGGGCGTGGCCAACACTGGTGGACCTGTCTCGATTGTGGAGCGCGATGGCAAAGGCTCGAGTGGGAAATGGACAAGGCTCTGAACACTGGAGCATCTTCCTCCCAGGACGCTCCCACTCCGGTGGAACAAGAGATCGTGTCCTATGCCAAGAACCCCCCAAGGACTTTGCCAGGACCTCGACATCGACCAGAAGTACCAGCCTTGACCTTGGAACCAGTGCCAGACACCGAGGAAGAGCAGATGACAGCCGACCAGAGACTGGAAGCCTTGTTGAGACAGAGTGCAAAGACTCAAGGGAGAGTCTTTCCGAGATCGCCCAGTTCAGAAAAGCGAAAGTCGGAAACCTCATGTGTGAGGCCAATCCAGGATCGAGCACGTCCTCGCACCCCAAGACTCAACGACCGGGTGGAAGTTCACGAGATCTTCTCCTCCGGCGAGGACCTGTCACAGGAGGGAACCTTCTCGGTGGTGTCCCCATGACTGCTAAGGACACCCAGAATGTGGCTGAGCTTCCCACGTCTCACGACTGCACTACGAGCACTACGATGGAAGACTCAAGCCCAAAACCTTTTTGCTTGAAGAGCTCTATGACCTTACCGAGCTCTATTTCTCCGAAGGCTAAGCCACCTCAACCGCGGCCGATGCCAAAGGCAATCGGGCCTTCATCCACGTCGATGAGCACGTCCCAGACGAGATCGGCGGTGGCAGCCCTCACTGCATGTGTCACTATACTTTGCTTCGTTCCCGGTTCAACCTGTCATCTCGACTGGATTGGACCTCGGCTGGAGGCCACTGGAAAGAAGCAAGAAGAATTCGAGTTTCTTCTGAGCACCAGCTGCAAAGAGCTGGGCCGAACTGATTTTGATGGAGAGCCCAAGTCACTTGAACGAGGTCAACGACAGTACTTGGTTGGCCACCTCAAACACTTCAACGAGGTGATCGGGGAAGTCTACAGTCCACCACGATGCACAAAGGAAGCCCGCAAGCAGGGATTCAAAGCCTCCATAGCCATGGACCTTTCCACCGGTTGGGACTTTCGGGAGCCAAAGGATCGCCGACGTGCCCTACAATGCATCGCCGAGAAAAGACCTGCCGTGCTGGTCCTCAGCCCTCCATGCACAGCATTTTCACGATTGCGAGCTTTGACGTCGTTCAAACGTCGCGAAGCAGATGTGAGAAAGGAGTTAGAGGAGGCAATGACACATATGCGGTTTTGCATATCCTTGTGCAAGTTGCAACAGAAGCAGGGGCGAGGATTCATCCTCGAGCAACCCCGAGATGCGACATCGTGGACGATGCCTGAGATGGTATCCCTGTTGGAGGAGCCCGAGGTCTATAGACTGTGCCTCGACCTTTGTCAGTTCGGTCTCCGAGCTACCAAAGGACCATACCAAGGGCAACTCGTCAAGAAGCCCACAGCTCTTATCTCCAACATCCCCGAACTAGCCAAGCACGTCGAGAAGAAGTGCGACAAGTCTCATGCCCACGGACAACTCCTTGGCGGTGCGGCCAAACCAGCAGCTGAATACACACCCAGCTTCGTTCAGGCCATTCTCAACGGTGTGAAGGAAGTACTGGGTTTGAAAGTCTCGACTCCAACCTCCAAGTCAGCATCGACAAGCCACTGGGTCACCTATGGTCGAACCCTCGGTGCTGCCGCTCGCAACTACGCCACAGACCAAGTGGAACTTGAGGAAGAGGTGTTCTTGGCCTACCAGAGCTTCGGGCATCGGTCAAGTTTCCCTGTCAATGTGGAGGAAGATGTGGACATGGAGGATGTTCTTGGAGAAGAGGCACCAAGACCTGAGGAACCAGAGGAACATGATGCTGTGTCGGCCGTCCGTCGTGAGCTCCGAGGGCTTCAAGACAATCCAGGATTTGCCAAAGCCATGCAAGAAGTCGAAACATTTGAAGACATGAACGATGAGCCAAACACCCTTGCCCCACAACTTCGACGAGAAGTGCATCGAGTCCACCGAAACATCGGCCACCCAGGAAAAGAAATCTTCTTGAGAGCCTTGAAGAATGCAGGTGTTCGTGATGAGATTCTGCAATGGACCAAAGCTCATTTCAGATGCCCAACCTGTGAGGCAAGAACTCGACCAAGTCCGGCCAGACCCGGACACCTTCTTCGTGCCCTCGAGTTCAACCAGGTGGTCGGCGCGGACTTGTGCTTTGCAGACCTGTTCAACGAGCAGGTGATTCTCCTCAACGTTCTTTGTTGGGGAACAAACTTTCAACAAGCCTACATCTGCAAGGACAAGTCAGCTGAAGAAGTCCTGGAAGCATTTATGAGATGCTGGATACAACCATTTGGGGTGCCCAGCCTCTTAGTCCTGGACCGAGGCAAAGAGTTCGACAACCACCTCTTCAAGCAGACAGTGGGAGGACTGGGGGTCGGGCTACACTATACAGACCCTCAGTCGCCATGGCAGAACTCGAGAACAGAAAAAGCAGGAGGACTTCTGAAAGAGAAGCTGCGGTGCACCATCCATGAGACCACGGCCTCTCGAGAGGAACTCCAAGTCGTACTCGCCGAAGTGGTCGCTGCTCGAAACAGATACATGGACCGATTCGGCTTCAGTCCAATGCAAAGAGTGTTTGGCAAGAACTTGAGATTGCCATCGTCCTTGTTGTCCACCGACACCCTGAACCGAGACCTTGTAGAGGCTGCAGCTCCAGATGCCATAAAGAGGTCTTGGGACATCAGAGACGCAGCCGCCAGAGAGTGGTTGAAGAGACAAGACTCCAATGCAGTTAGACGAAGCCTCAAAGCCAACTCCAGAACCGCTGATCTGAAACCGATCCCGGCTGGGACCTGGATCTATGTTTTTCGGGACACTCCGTCCTATCGAGGGTGGGTTGGTCCGGGAGTCGTCATTGCCGAGGACTTCACGAACCGCTCAGCCTGGGTCTCCATGCGGGGCCGACTGTGGAAGGCCAGCCGAGAGCAGATCAGGCCAGCAACGCCTGAGGAAGAGTTAGGTGCTGAACTGATTCTGGAGTTGTCGCAAGAAATGCTACAGAAATTGAAGAAGCCAGGACAGATAGTCTACCAAGACATCACTCAGGAGGACGGTCCGGCTGAAGACGACTTGGACGGTGATGCGGTGCGACAGGTGTTGCGGGTTCGAGAAAACGATCCTCATGGTGAACCACACCCGGCTGCACCTGCACCAGCACCCGTCAGCCAGACCGACAGCACCCACCAGCCTGAAGACGTGGAGATGGATAGCGAGGAGCCATCGTCCCTTCCAACCACTTCACTCAACCCAAGTCGAAGAGTGAGTATCCTAGAACCCACTGAGGAGAGACTCCCTATGGAAGGCATCGTCGAAGAAGAAGGAGCAGCGCCAGAGGCTTCCGCCAGTGAACAGCCTCGAAGAGTCATCAGAGTGGATGAAAATGTGGATGGAGCCATGACATTCGGTCCCATCCGCAGATCAGACGGTCGCCTGACAGAGGTCCCAGAGACCCCTCCTGTTGGAGCGCCAATGCCCTACCCAATGAATAGAGGGACGCCGCCACTTCCAAGACCACCTCCCAGTTCCTACTACATCGAGGTGATAGACTTCGACAAGGATGAGGACCTGCGGCACTTGGGAGTGAGAGCGCCCTTCATTGGCGCAACTTGGAGATTTGACCGTGAACAAAGAAAGCCTGTCCTTCTTCCACGAGCCTTGTCGGATGGTAAAACCTTCCACGGGGCATATGCCGAGGCCTCCTACTGCTACCGAGACAAGTGTCATTATGTGACCAAGTCCAAAGCTTCTTTTGGTCAAGTGCAGTTTAGCAAACTGGACGAGAAAGAAAAGGAAGTTTTTCGGAAAGCAAGAAAGAAGGAGTTGGATAGTTTGATTTCCAATGGAGCCGTCCGAGTGCTTTCCTTGTCTGAGAGTAGAGCTTTCGAGCGGGATTTTCCAGACCAGGTCATCGATTCCAAGTTTGTTGACAGATACAAACCAAAAGACATCGGCACGGACACCATCGAAGAATACAAACGTCGTGCAATTCAAGAGGGTCACATGGGTGTTTGTGAGCTTGAACAAGACCAACAGAGTCCGAAATCTAGACTTTGTGTTGTTGGTTGGATGGACCCACAGATTCATGAAGTTGAGAGGTCCAGTCCAACCCCCCTCAGCACGAGCCTCCACTGCTGTCTCCAGCTTGCAGCTACCAGGCAGTGGTCGACTCGAGTGAAAGATGTGAAAACTGCGTTTCTCCAATCGCTGCCGACCACTCGAGAAAAGAAACTAGCAGTGAGACAACCCAAAGACGAAACCTTGCCAGGGTTGGAAGAGGGTCAGTTGTTGTTGCTACTCACTGAAGTCTATGGTTTAGTGAGTGGGCCATCATGGTGGAGACGAAGCTTTCTCAAAATTGCCACCGAACAGCTGGGATATTCGTTGAACTGTTATGATCGGTGTGTGTTGACTTTGGGAAGCAGCAACGCCAGCCAGTCAGCGAAAACCGAAGGGTTCATTGTTCTCGAAGTTGACGACATTGCTGAGGCTGGATCACCACTTCATGTCAAGAAAATGCAACAACTGGAATCTCTCCTTAAATTTGGCAAGGTTGAAGATCTCCAATCCGCATCTGGAAGCAATTACGCTGGGAGACACATCAAACAGCTCCCTGATTTTGGATTCGAGATTTCAATGGATGAATACATTTTCACTCGGTTGGAACCTATTCAGTTGGGTAGGAAAGTGTTGGTCAAAGATGCTGCGACAGTCAAACTGACAGAAGGCGAAAAGTCCCAACTGAGAGGACTGATCGCCTCATTGAATTGGGTCGCATGTGAAGGCAGACCAGACGGCGCAGCGGCTGCCAGCATCTTGGCATCCGCATTCCCAGACCCATGTGTCAGTCACATCAACGCCGCCAACGACATGGTCAGGCACTTGAAAACGTTTCCTGTCAAACTGAAGATCCATCATGTGCCAGAACCCAAGTTGAGGCATTTGTTGATTGCCGACAGCAGCTTCGATACATCCGGTCGTGAAAAAAGTCAACACGGATGGTTGCTCGGATTCACGAATGATCGCATGAATCTTGGAGAACGATCGCCTGTTTCTCTTATGCAATGGCGAAGTAAGAGATTGAGAAGAAAGGCCGCATCATCATTGTTATGCGAAGCAATATCAATGAGCGCTGCAACAGGTGCTTTGGAAAAAACAAGATGCATTCATGGAAAGCATCCGACTGGCCAATTACTGTCCCCGTTCCCGCCAGCGAACTGAAGACGAGTACCTCAGCCTGGCCGGAAAGTCGACTGTACTGGCCAAAGAAAGCAATCACTTTGTTGACCCCCGAGCACTGGCAGTTGTCGATGCAAAAGCATTGTTTGATGCTCTCCTTTCAGATCAACCACAGGGCCAGGACGAACGGGCTTCATTAGAAATCTCCATTATTCGTGAATCGCTCACTGTTGTTCTTGGACGCCCTCGGTGGATACCTCACAATAGAAACCCTGCAGATTCGCTAACCAAACTGCACGGGGCACATGTGGAGCCCATGTTGGAACTGCTAAGCACAAACAGTTTCTGCATAGAAGAAGAACAGTCAGTGTTGCAGCAAGGAAGGCAATCGGAGAACCGCCAGAAGATTGGCCTGAAAGGTCATGGAAACAGAATCTTTTGGGGGCTGACGGACTTGATTCATGAATCTAAGAGACTCTAACGGATTTCCATGACCTTGTTCTGAATGTGACCGCCTCTAGGCGCCTTGGGCTCTGTGTGTGAAAAGTGTAGACCGTTGAATCTCGATCGCGGTGCGCTCATGTCGTGTTGATTTGGTTTGTGAAACAGTTGTTCTTGGCTGCTGTTCTCATACAATACAGTAGCCCTTTCGATCGAGAATTGTTCAAATGACCATTCACCATGGAATGTTTCCCCCCTCCACCCAACCCCGCCATATGGGCCATAAACAGAACATCATTGTGTGGTCGCATATACAAGAGAACGTTACACAGCGGATGGTCCAAAAAAACCCAAAGGAAAATGCAGGGGCCAACTCCGCTGAGGATGCCCCAGACTGACATGAAGATGTGCCAGACTTCCATGCTTTCATGCTTCACCTGTGACTTGACCGTCCATCCGACTGGCCCCCGGAAAGCTCATCGCTCTTCGCTCTTCCCGGAAGAAAACGGGTCTTAGGACGGTGATCCAATCGGATAGCATCCAGATGAAGTCCATCGAGGAGGTGCCAGGTTTTTCGTGTATACGGCGCAATGAAAAGCCGTGGGGTGCCTGCGTCACTTCGCGATATGTTTTGATTGTGAAGGATTGTGAAAGTGATTTGGCCTGTCCTTTTGTTACACGAAAACCGGGAACGGTTGGACCCTGGACCATTGCTCATATGCGCAGTTCAATGTTTTTCTACTTATTATATTGGTTGTAAATGTCTGGAAGCTCCTCCAAAAAGGATCAACGAAGTTAACTTGTGAACACATGGCATTGCCCATACTCAGCTGTAGATGCGCCAAGCCTCGTTCTTTTCCAGTCAGGCGAACCGCTGGTGGAATCTGCCACACCACCTGCCACCTGAGCCGTGCTTGTCATCGCTTTGCTTCAGGGCATCCGCGAGGGCATCGCCGAACTGTTCTGGGGCACCCTGCGGCAGGCCGTTCCGCGCATCTGCAGCATCAAGTAACCTGCGCCCGTTCATGATGCGTCCAGATGTACCCCGGCTTACACCCCATCCATATTACTTTGCATCATCTTACCATACTGGCCTAGCTATATATCATATGCTGGTGCAAGAAACTCCAAGTTTCTCACGAGGGGAAACATACTTTTCGAGTCGACCGACTCGGATGGTTTCTGTCCGGTCAGTCAGGATGAGAGCGGCAAAGTCGTGGGTTGGGATTGGTGCAAGAACCGCCCCTCGCGTGAGCCCCAGCATCGGTTTCTATCAAAACCCTCGGTCTGGCCGAATCAGGGCGCACCAGGACACACCAGTGTATGTTCTGTGCTGGGTCTCTCCTGAGATGATTTGATACATTTTTATCAATTTGTTCATTTTGCACAGACCTGAAGAACTGTAAAGTTCATGTTCTTTGGACCGCCAGTAGCATTTGAGGTGCAGTCCGCCTGAAATCACGGCTCGGGATGCCTAGTGGGATCCAGTAGGCAGTGAAGGGCCAAGTTGAGATGGCAGCCTGTTGCCATGACATTTTTTGCCGAAAAGTCGATGAATATCAAGCTGGCTTCGCAGCCGTTGTGGCAGCTATCCCCTTGGGGGTTCAAGCATCAAATTAGCTGAATGGCTCTTTACTTGACATCTCCTGGCCCTAGCCAAGTCAGTCTCCCTGCATGTTGTTGAATCCCAGGGCAACATGCTTGTTCTTGTTGAAACCTGCCCAGAGATGAGAACAAGGATTGCGCGCCACTTTACTACAATGCAACGTGGTGTTAGATAGATACTCCTGGGCCAACTTTGAATGCCTGCAGATTTCTGCAGATCAAGGTGTTTTTGTTGCAGTCATGGTGTCTTGCTGGGGTTCATACTTAGCCAACAGCAATGGCAACAGAAGAGAGAAGTCCTTCCGATTGGGTAGAACGATCGGATTGGATAGCTTTTTTTGAAGCTCAGATTCTCCCCTGTTGCCTTAGAGGGTGGGACATGATGCCAGCATGATAGTGACCATTTCCTAGGCACTAGGCTAGGCTCAAACACCGTCCTCTTTGCAAAACGATTCTTCTATTTCTGCTTCTCATTGGCACTTGGACCCCAGGATTCTTCAGGCGTCTCGATTCCTGAGAGCTCTTGGCACCGGTGCGCACAGAGCGGTTTTTGACACGCCAGCGGCGAGGACTGTCCACCCTCCGAGCTGTACACCTATGTCTCCTTTTGCAAGAAGGCCGCTCCCCTCGGGCGTAAAGTCGAAAGGGAGGGAGGAAGGAAGGGGAGGAAGGGACGCCTGGTCTTGAGGATGAGGTGTTGTTTCTAGACTATAAACGAATCCCCTTTCTGGGCAACAACAAATATATATCTATATATCAATATACATGCATACATATATATTTATATTATGTTAGTTTTTTTTCCAGTTCCTTAAGTACATCATCCAAGGATGTGTCAATGCCGAGATATTCTCTCAGAACCTTAGGACTTTTCTAATCTGTAGATCACATTGATCACATTCTCCCCTCTCAGAGGACTTCGATCCTGGATTTCACTCACTTGGTGTTTTTCTTTTCCATCTCTTTCCCCTTCTCGTTGTCCTTGTCGGTACCGGCATGCTCCTTGGATTCCGTGCAGCGTGTTTGCACACGGCAGATGCATACGGAGAAGGACCAGCAGAAGATCAGTATTCGAAGCTTTCGCTTGGTCATCGGGCTGAGGAGTACAGTGGCGGGATTATGTGTTTTCTTTTCTCAAAGGACATGGGTGGAGTGTTTGTTTGGTTTTGGACTTGTGTGGTACAAGGTGAGCCAATGGCTTCAGTGGTAAACCAAGAATTAGAGGCTTTAGGATCTTATGCCACTTCCTATCACAAGACTCACGAGAACAGAACCTCAAGTATCAGGCACGCAGGTCAAGCAAAGAAGCTGTGAAACCTCTCTTTGCTGGTCAATCAGGGCAATGAATCAAACGATAGAGGATTGCAACAGCTATTTCTGAGCAAGATCAGAGGTGTGTTTCTTGAAATTCAGAAGGATGTCCTTGTGACATCTTGTGACATCCCATGACACCTGCCTTTCGCCCCTCGCTTGTCTGCAGATTCGCCCCACGGCCATCGGAACATGACCGGATTCAGGTCGAAGATGACGAAGTGAGGGCCGAAATGATGAAGGCGCTGATGATGCGGAGACGTCATAGGGTTTTCCATGGATCCTTCATGATCCTTCCGGATGCGGAAACGCTCTGATGCTGTGTTTGGTCGTAGAACCATCAGGAATCACCAGCACAGCTACTTTCAGGTACTTGACTTGGCCATGAAGAAGTTGCAGCTACCAGCCGAGGCAGGCTAGTTTAATCCCAAGTGCCAGACTGTATGCGCAATTGATTGGAAGAGAGGTTTTCTGCAAGCAACACTGACTTCTTGAGCCAATTGAGTTTGTGTATTTGCAGCAGAAGGCTAGATTTTGACTGGTGCAGCCTTGAAGGAGAGTAATTACATGTGGGGATGTGATGACATGATGTTACCTGCAGACTGATGGCTCAATTCATTTAGATGGGCCTTTGGGGTTGCTTCGTTCTTCGGCCGACCGGACCCGTCACGGTTCGGTTCTCGCGATGCAGGACTCGGTGACACCTCAGGATTTCTATGGCTTGCGCTGCAATTGGGCAAGCAAGGATGGCAAAGACTGCAAGAATTCCACAGATGCTATTTGTTGGATCACTTCCTGCCAGCATGTCCTTTGTGATGAGCATGCCAAGCTCGCATTTGCCAGTGGAGATTCATGCCCCATTTGTGGCTACGAAGCAGCGAAAGTCATCAAAGCGAATCTGTCCAGAGAGGGACGTGCTCAAGCAAGGAAAGGTCTTTTGCCAGGCCTCACACCTTCCGAGATCATGGATTCGGCCGCCCGGAACATCGAGTTCTGGGTTCGACAGAAGGCTCTGGAATGCATGCAACGGAAGAAGTGCCGCGTGCAGATGGAGAAGCGCAGCGAAGAGATGTCCAAGTCCGCAGAAGAGCAGATCCAGGTCTATCAACGGAAGTGTCAGCAGCTGGAGGAGGAGCAGGTGGCCTTGCAGAAGAAGTTGGACGACTTGGAATCTGACCGCAACAGCGTGCAGTTGAAGATCCAAGCCTTGCAACGGGACTGTTCTAAGGCCGAACAGCGTTGTGAACGTGTGCACCGCCAAATGGGTCAAGTTGAGACCATGCTTCCAACCAGCTTCGGCTTGAGACAGAGCCAGACCAGCTCTTTGCCGATCACCCAAGGTCTTTCACCGGCCCGAGGCGATCGGCGCCCGGAGGTCGACTCGGGGCCCCGATCGGAGCCCCGAGTGTTCAATTTCGAAGGTGCTCATGGGGCTTTGTCGCCGGGCAGACTGGGAGTTGGTGCAGTCCAGTCTTCCTTTGGTCATTTCTTCGACCACAAACCCAGCTTGACCGGCTTCAACGGCTTGACCTTGCCTGGCAGCCCCAAGCGCGGCCCGGTGCGATCCGCTCCACTCAATTCGGCCTTCTTCGGCTCCGCGAGGATGTCAAGGCGTCGGATAACATGAGTGCAGAAGACAGAGCAGCACAGTCAGTGCTTCCAGCATTTGATCTCTTGCGTGAAGATGTCTCGTGAAGATGTCTGAAGGCATTGACTAGTGGTTGTTAGTCAGTGCCAAGACTATGCCAAAGAGCCTGGCTAGTCAATTTAGCTATGACACAAAACGTTTCAAAAGGGAATGTTGCACCGTCCCAGCGCCTGCATAGTGGTGCGCAACAGATCTTAAGAATTTGCTTTGCATATCGTGGGAAAAAAAAACATTGCGACAGATGTGCAATTCAGTGCAAGATGCATTCATCCCCTCTCTCTCTCTCTGCTGATGGAATGCCACAGAATCCTGGACTTTATCTGATTGTATCAGTTTTTCGCGCAGGTGTTGAAGGAGGAAATCTTGCACCACGTGAGATTGACATATAGATTCGCATGGGCTGCCATGAAGCTCCCAGTAGAGCTTTTAGAGCTGTTGTTCTTTTTCATATTATGTGGATTCCCTTGGCATTTCTCCAGATTCAAGAGTATCCTCTTCCTGTTGTGAAATATGCTCCAATGACCAACGCAGGTGCGTTTCTCGCCGGAAGCTGAAGCTGTCGGCCTTAAGGGCTCGACCATTATGCCGCTGGGACGACGGTCAGCCATTGGCTGGCGAATGTGGAGCGATTCAATGTTTGTTCCTTGTTTTGTGATCACCAGGGGTGAATATCGTTTAATGAGCCGCTTACTGTAGTATAAGTTGCCAGTGGATGACATTGCTTTTGTGGTGATGATGATATCAAGATCTTTCAAGTGTGAGTGGATAAAGAGTACTCCCTTACAACGGCGTCAAACCAGATCACGAGCATCCCTTCAAGTTTTGAATTGATTGCTGTCTCGAATGTTCTTTGACCATCATGGCTATGACCGTTATCATCATACTCATCGTCATCACTATAGGTTCTGTGCCAGAGATACGTTGCACACTCAAAGCAGAGTCGTTGGTCAAAAGAAACGCCTCTTGCGCAACGCACCTTGCGGGTCGTTCTGACATCAGCCCCTTTCAACTAAACCAACAGTCTTCCCAAGCCACCAGCTATATACCCAACACACCGAAAAAAGAAGGCCTGAAACGTTTCCAGCGGGCACTGAGGATGTTTCCAGCGGTTTTTCACCTCGTTGCTGTGCCTTGTACACCTCGTTTGGGCGCGGACGCGGGACTCGGGTGGCCAGCCGTGCGAAGAAAACCGCGGGACTCGTGTGTCGATCTGAAGGAGTGTGGAAGAGGATCAAAGCAACGAACTCCAGAGGGGTCTGTCAAATCTATCATTATTTAAGAGACAGACATTGTTGCTGGGAATTTGAACAATTACATATTTACACAGGGCTGTTCTGACCGGGACTTGCTGTCGGACTCTCTGGGCTGTTCTTACATGTTCTTACAAGTCTTGCTCCAGCAACTGAAGATGGATGTCTGAAGGACGGCGGAATTCCGAAGGTTCTTCCAAAGGTCAACGGCCCAGCAGTTCCATGTCGGAGTGGTTTGAGAAGGACCTTTTGTCGTCCCATCCAGTGAGCGGAGAAACATTTTTGCGCATGATCAAACACACCAGGGACTGCGCCATGGAACTGCCTATAGGTCTCTTTGGTTCACTTCCGGACTCATTGGAGTCGCGGAACCAGGCAGCGAATGTTCCACGGGAAGATCTGGAAGTGTTGGGTACATAACATACAAAGAAGAACTTGAGCATATACTTACTGTGTTAGGTACATACTGTGTTAGTGTTCTTCAACTAGTACATACTCGTGGGACCTGTACATCCTCGTATACCGTTCCCCCCCACACGAAGACCTCTTCACACACCCAGGCGTTGCAGCGAGCGAAGCGGAAGTTTGCGTGCCTTGGGGGCGGTTGGCGGAAGGAAGGAGGAATTGGAAACGGGTCCTTCGGGTTCTGATACCCTCCATGGATACCCTAGAAGTCCAGTTCGACTACATTTTGACTGACTGAAGTAAAGGACATTCCTTGACTCGGGTCACCTAGTCAGACCATTCAGCTTTTATGGTCTTTGACTCCCAGGGGAGATGGTGCTTTGACTGAACTAGGACACGAGTCCTGGCAACTCGGCCACAAAACCTAGCGCATCATGCCCTATAGTATAAATGATTGTTTTGCCCATTGCTCATATGGTATATTTGGCGCATATCGTCATATCGTGGACACCTTGGGATAGAATACGATAGATCTTTTTTAGTTCACAGGCTAGGACTGATAAGATACATTTGATTACCTCAGTAGTTCCTTTTGATTTCCCACAATGGTTTGGAGCTTGCATGTGTTTTGGCTGCTCACTGCTCACATTTGATCGTTTGGGGTGTCGGATGCCGGCGACTTGACTATCACCCATCATGCCTCCATTGCTGCATGTCCTTGCAATTGTGCAATGGTGCCCCTGCAACTTTCTAAGGATTCTTTTTAGATCTTTTGGCGCTGATCATGAAAACATCAAGCAGGACTGACTGAGATTGCGTCGTGAGGAAGTACGGTGAGTTTTGGGGAGTTTTCTGGTGTTTTCTTCGAAGTCAAGTGGATGCAGCAAACTTAGACTATGTTTCTTCCGCGGCCTTTCAGGAGAGTTGTCAGGAGATCCTAGTAAACTGGTGGAGTGTTTGCTTTCTGATGGCTGTCTTTCAATGTGGATCAATCATTCCAGTAGAAGGCTCGAACACCTGTGACTCACGTGACATGGCATTGCAAGATGTTGGCCAAGCTGTCACAGGGCAGGCAGTCAGCATATAAGAGGACCGGACAAAATCTATCGTTTGGGTCGGCACCCCCTGGTTCGATTGGATTGTAAACAAAGAAGGGTGGCCGACCATGACCATCCCCAATCAGTTCCTTGAAGAGATTTGGCCACGCAACATGACTCTGGGAGAAATCTTGGCAGCCCTGTTTGATTGCCCCCTTGAGCCTGAGACTATCTCTATGCAACTGCTGATGTCCACTGCCTCTCCTCTTTCTTCTTCTGGCGGATTCACCGGACCCCTCAAGGGCGGATTCACCAGACTCCAGGAGTGGAACTCCTTCTGCGAGATGCGGCATCCCTTGTATTCCAGATTCATCGAGGCCGGTTGACCGTTCTGCGCGCGCGAGATGCCGCCCGCGCCGTCCGTTGGAGTCGTCATGGACCCGGGGGAACCCGGGTCGTGAAGGTTGGCCGTTCTGCTGACACATGGAGGGGAGATGTGGAGTGAGGGAATATGTGAACAGAACCTTTCGAACGATGGTGAAGAACTTGAAGGAACGGAGACCCCGAATGAAGGATGTGGAACATTGCAGACACAATTGGACGCATTATGTAGATCTACAGACACATGCTTTGTTGTCCTTTCTTAATGTTTTCGAGGTCATATCAAGTTCTTTTTGTCCCCTTTCTTCTTGGGTTGCCAGCGCCCACCCATCCTGATCCTCATCGCGCTAATATCATTTGCTCACACCCCCTACTCCCTCCCTCCAGATACATCGACGAATTCCTCCAAAACCTCTCCAAGCCCCTGCCACCTCAGATACCCAGCTTCCTCCCAGCTTCCCTCCCAGCCCCGCAGGGCATCGGACCCCTGGACGGCACGGTGCCGGGCATTCCGGATCGCCGCATCGATGCCATGCACACGCTCTACCGCGACGCCGAGGTGCCGGACGTTCGGAACCGGACCGGGCCGGTCGTTCCGGTGGGGTGGCCGGTGGCCGGATGGCTTGGCGGGAGGAGAAGCACTGGAACCGCACTGGACGTCGGGTTGGGTTGGCGGGTGAGGTCAAGCAGCGGCCAGGAGGAGGGGTGAGGATGGGTGAGGAGAAGCAGGAAAGGTGTTGTTTTGGATAGAAACGCCTCAATGTGGGAGACACCTTACTGGACATGTTTGCCTTGCGTGATTCACTGGCACCTGGGACTGAGCGAGCCTGCTTGATCCACCGAAGCGGTGGAAAGTCGATCCCTAAGCCAGCTTCAAGCGACACCACAGTCTTGATTTTGATCCACTTACATAGTTGTCAGATCCTACTGTACAGTAGGTTCCCCACCCAGTAGCATTTACCAGATACCCAGTCAACAGTGGCCATTCCCTTCAAGTTCCCCCAATGCGACCAGTAGCAGGTTCCCTATGGTTCGCTTCATTGTCTCAAGTGGCTCTGGGTGCAGGTATGAGAAAACTCAACGAAGAAGATCTTCTGTATGACTGTGGGTCAACGCCTGGAACCCCCAAAAGCCTCTTCCACAAAGGACCAATTCTGGTCGTCGTTCGCATTCCATAAGTCTGGGGCTGAACCAGCCGCCATGACCCAACAAATTTGCAGCCTTCAAGTGGACCCTGATCTACCATTTGAACCTGGGGGTTCCCAATCTTACATCATCCAAGGGGTCCCGACCCAAGTTGCTAAGCGTGGAACATCCCAAAAAGGGAAGGAAAAAGAAAAAAATGTCTCAGATCTCTCCCACTAAGGATCGACCCGATCGTGACCATTCCTTTCCGATCGCTTTTCGCTTTCGCTCGCTCGCTCTGACGCCGAACCCTGGCGGAACCGGGCGGGTTCGTTCGAACGGCTTCGAGCGACGCGAGACACGGTCGATGCACCCAGGGACCCTTGCTGGTGATCGATCATTTGGTGGAGTCTGGGGACCCCGGACCGGGTCCGACCGCCGGACGGGACCGATGTCAAGGTCCTTGGTGTGGCCGGCCGTGGTTCGGACCGGTGGGAGGGGTCATAGAAGGTGAGGATCCAAGAATTCAGAGGTGTCAACCAGACTTGTGATGTGCACATGCATGCATTTCAATCCAAGAACATATTAGCAAAAACTTAGGGAAAGGCCGTTTGTTCACCAGAAGCCGGGGGGTGGTGGTCAGCTACAAATCGCTCCAGTAGGGGGTTCATTTGCTCTTTCACCCATCGTGTCCTGAGTTCCATCAAATGCATCTTGGAGCTTCAGCTTGGGCCCGTTGGGCCCTGTGACACCTTGTGACACCTTGTGACACGAAGAAGACGATCTGCCGCCCCAAACCAGGCGGCACCTTCGACCCACGTCGCGTCGCGTCTCCTGTCCAGGGCGCAGAAGGCCCAGGACTGGGACAACTGGGCCCGTGAGCGAAACCCCCAGGCCACCGGGTTGGGAGGCAGAGGACGGCTGTGAACCATGGTGAACCATGGTGAACCTCCCTCCTAGACCACGGAAAACCGGAACGGGTCCAAAGGATCCATCGTTGGGGCGCTGTGACGCGGCTGGACTCG